ATGTAAACTATATTTCATTCAACTGATGTTTTCTATTACAATGCAAGGAATTACAAGTGAAAGAACAATTATAAAGGAGAAAATATCGATCAGCAGAGGAAGAAGAGGAATGGAGAAACAAGGAAGAAGATGAAGAAGCACGGGAAGAACCTTACCAGAGAGAAGAACCGGGACAAAGAAGAAGAAGAATAGGAGACGGGAGAAGACGGTGAAGAGGAACAAACCAAAGAGCAGGAGGAAAAGGGGAAGAAGACCACGATTCACTTCATCACTCCCCATCGTCTTCAAAACAAAATCATATATACAACCCTAAGGCTTGGGCTAGCTCACTTAGATAAAACAAAAGGAAATTAAGAAAATAATGGTATATAGAGTCCATGACAATAAAGCTCGTTTTCACACAAATAAATCTGATACTACCTTCCAAGTTGATTTATCTTCGTAGAAATCACTGCAAGTTGCAAAATTGGTGCAAAGAGGCAGGGGCGAAGCCAGGAAATTAACTCAGTGTGGGCACAATGTATCATTCATCCACTGATCACCCATCCGATTATGCAATCTATCATTTATAATGTTCGTTGCAGAAAAGACTCTCTCCACATTAGCTGTAGCAACTGGTAGAATCAATGTTAAAGTCAAAAGCTTGTAAACCAATGGAGGCAAAGGTGAGACTTGAGAGGACGATTTGGGCTTGGTAGGTCTTGGGCCGTTTAGCATATTACTAAAAAAAACCTAAAAATCTAGGTCGAAATTGGTTTCCGTTTTCTTCTTTCGCTGTTTGGGAAATGGTTATCAATAGTTAAACAATTTATAATTTTTTTAAAACTCTGATTTTACTATAGCTTTAAAGATAAAAAGTAAACCAATATTCACTACTGGGAAGGCTAGTATCCTTGTCTTCCTAGCTCGTTTTCCAAACTTAAGAGCTCTAACATTCCCCTATTGAAAACTAGAACTAGAACTCATTGAAGAAAACTAACATTAATATTTAACTTAACTAAAGCTAGTTTTCATAGAATAACTGCTTTTGTAAAACTAAATCATCTTTCTGTAACAGGCTACGCGATACCCTGAGTTGCAGAAAATACCATGGTACTCTTCCCCTTTACATAGTTTTAAATTTCAGTGTGTGGCATTTCACAATGGTAGTAGGTGCTGATTTTTTGTTATAATTTAAAATCAAAATTTCCAATTTCTTTTCGTATATCCCAATGTCTAGGTACACTACTAGAGCGTTGAAAGGAGAAGGAGCAAAATATTTCCACAAGAGGATTGAAATTCCTTATGGACGAACCCTAGATATTATAGCCATGGATACTGGCCTACTCCAGGTGTGAATTCCATTTTACTAAATGTCTTCTTTGTTATATCTTCTGCCAATAGACTTTTGATTCCTTCTCGTGAAAATTATTCTTCTGATCACAACGTGTTGATGCCAACTTTCATTAAGTCATCGACATGCATTATCTCGCTTACCCAAATTTCAACAATTTCCATTCAACAATACCCAAATTTCAATTCCATAAGGTTTGTTCTCTACAGACTACACAGTACACACCAATCTTGTATGATTCACGAAGACGGAAGACATGGATTTTTTAACAAGCTCAAACATCAAATACGGTATTAAATCAAACGCAGGCCTTAGTATTAAAAAAAAATCTCAAGACTCAAGCAGATCCTAAAGAAAATATCAAATACGGCATACCCAGCTCAAACATCAATTCATCAAATACCTGATTTTTTTGCACACGCACTTGGTGCTTGCTTGTGAGCAGGGGCGGACCCAGACGATTCGCGTTGTGGGGTCAAAAATGAGAATTCCAAATTTCAAGAGGACGAAGGTCGAAGAACATAATGCAGTAATATTGTTCTAGAATCTAGATCCTTTCAATGTGCATTTCAAAAGCTGAAGCCTGAAGGTGCTAATTAAAGGCCAAAGGTGAAAATGTGAAAGGCAGAAAGGGCAATTGGGCAAAATACTAAGAGGCCACAAGGCGGCAAGGCCCACAACGGACTCAAGCAACACAGAGGCCACAACACACTTACACACAGAGTTGTTGAGTTCACTAAACCATGGAATAAAGCAAAACACTTACACACAGACAGGGCGGACTCAAGCAAGTGGAAATGTGGAATAAAATTGCAGAATTTGCAGTCAAAAATGGCGGAATTAAATTGCAGATTTGCAGTCATAACTCATAAGTGGAAACTGTGGAATTAAATNTCAAAAATGGCGGAATTAAATTGCAGATTTGCAGTCATAACTCATAAGTGGAAACTGTGGAATTAAATTGGGCAATTGGCTACATAATAACATAAATGAAGCAGAGTAACTTCAAACAAGTTGCTATCAAAACAATTGGATGAAATCATGAAATTGGCATAAAGAAGTTATAACACACGGTACACACCTAAAGGGTGAATGGCGGACTTCGGCGACGGCGGAGGATGGCGGACTGCTTGAAGAAGAACAGCAGCGGGCTTCGAGCCTTCGACTGATGGTGGACGCCGTCGAGTTCGACGGTAATGGTTTCGGCTTCGGCAGGGAGACAGGAGACTCACTCAGGGGCGAATTCAAATGGGAGGAAGTAATTTCAGAAATTGAGGTATAGGGTTGTGGGATTTGGGTTTAACTTCGAGCCTTCGACTGGGTGGACGCCGTCGAGTTCGACGGTAATGGTTTCGGCTTCGGCAGGGAGACTCACTCAGGGGCGAAAATCAAAATGGGAGAGAGTAATTCGGCTATTGAGGTATAGTAAGGTTGTGTGATTTGGGTTTAACTTTATTAAATTGGGTTTGGGCCTCAACAAATGAGCTACTGGGTATTTTTAAATGGGCTAGTTAGTATTTTTCAAATGGGCCAATGTTAGGTTTAAAATAAAAAAAAAAAACTCAACAAAATTTTTTTTTTTGTGGGGTCATTTGACCCCACATGACCCCATGTGGGTCCGCCCCTGCTTGTGAGCTTGTTGGCGGAGTCAGCATCACAGCGCGCATTTTCTTATCACAATCCCAGCACAACGCCGCTCGTCGTCGTCGGCGCGGCACAATAAACTGTTTAATTTTGAAATGGAGGCTGGAGGTGGAGGAGAGCAGAGGCTGTGAATTGAAACGGAGGCTGGAGTGGAGGAGAATAGTCTTAAGTGGAGGTGAGACTTGAGAGGACGACTTGGGCTTGGTAGGTCTTGGCCAGTGTTTTTAATTTTATGGATTGGACTGGGTAGGTCTTGGAAAAAAAAATTGGGGTACTTACAAAAATACCCTTAAAATTAGGAATGTTTTGAAAAATCATATAAAAAGTTTTTAGGAAGTAAAAAATACTGTGTAAAATAAAAAAAAGTGACGCAATATCATTTAAAAAAAAAAAATTAAAAAAAGTGACACTAACTCAAAAAAGTGACAAATTAAAAAAAAAGTGACAAATACCAAAATAGTACCATCCAATTGTACAGCACCAGTAATGATGGATTTTGACGTATGCAACTTTGTTAAAAAATGATTTGTCGTGTGTATGTGACAATGGATATCATACTGTATTGACGTTGGATCCACAGTGACTTAATAAATCAACGTCACTTTTTTGTTAAAAATGTGACATTATGTCACTTTTTTTAACATACAAGAATCTAGCATGTTAAAACCTACACATGTGTTATAGTTAGGTAACATATTACAATTCTTGAACACTAGTACTAATATTGATCAACTACATCAATAATATCCCTGCTCCAATGACATTGTAAAGAAAATATGTTCAAAACTTCACACATCTTTAAAAACTATACTTAATAACAGTAACTTTTATTAAAAAAGTGACATTATGTCACTTTTTGTTTTCAAGCTGCTAACATGTAAAGTGACCAAGGGCGGAGCCAGGAATTGATGGTACGGGGGCCAAAAATTTTTAAAATTCAATATATGAATAAAATTTATATATAACTAGAAAAATTGTAATATAACGTTACCTATTACAATTGTACCCGACGATGTTTTATAGCATAAAATTCATCTATAATATAATCTAGATTTAAATTAATACTAAATTCTCGTTTAATGTTTAGTGTTAAACAATCGGCAAGAAAATCATCATACATTTTGTTACGAATTTCCGTCTCACACGTTTCTTGCTGAAAATGTTCGCTCCACTGTCGCTGTTGAAACCGGCAGTGTCAAATGCAAATTAACTAGCATTTTAGCAACTAGCAGTAGCAAGTCTAATTTTTATCAAACAATTTTTCCATTTTAGCAACTAGCAGCCCTTCAAATTCAAATTATTCGATGGAGTATAAATTGGCTAGTGTGGCATAATTCATGTGAACAAGTTACAAGTGTGAATAAAATTGAAGTATCTAACCAAACATACCTCACTACAGGCCGCAAATGAAGGTTGAAGCACAAGCTGCACAACTGCACTGCACAAGGGCCGAATCGATTTCACTGAAAGTTTGAAACAAAACAAGACATTACAAAAGTAGCAAAATTAACCAAGTACCTGATTCTTAAAAAGGGAATTCTAACATGAATACAGTTCAACTAATACAAGGAAAATATTTAGATTATTTTTTGGCTTTGCAAGATTGAATTCAGGTAAAAATAGATTCTTTATAGAAATTGTCACTCGTCAAATCCAAGAACCCATCACAAAAAATGAAGAACATCCCAATTAAATTAGCTGCTACATTTAGTAAATCAAATGTACTTCCAATCATCGTAGACAATGGAACTAATAATCTGAAAAACGAAAAATAAGTCATTTTGAGGCCAGTTATAATTCAGTTTCTCAGATATTTAATCATAAGAAGAATTCTTGAAATAAAAACAAACTATATTTTTCTGTTCTTTCCAATTCGTGGTCAAGATCTAATAAATCTTAAAAACCAAGAATGTTAATAAAAACAATAATTACCTCAGACGGCG